CCTAGAATTGATTACTCAGGACCTAACCCCGCTTTCTTAATTAACGGTGTGGCCCTGGATTGGTTAACAATTGACACTGGCTGTGAGAGTGTAATTATCTCTAACTGGACAGCCAAACGGTTAGGAATAAATTCAGAGATGCGGCAGCAAAAAGCCATGAGTCTTATCACAGCAGATGCAATCACCACAGCACCTGTTGACAGGACTTGGGACACAGTTGAAATCTCGATTAACCCAGGGACTTCTGCGGCAACAACGGTCCAGGTTAAACTAACCATTGTTCCGTCACAGACCCGCGAAACTCTAATTGGGATGAGTGTAATTGGGCGGATTGGGCTTACACCCAATCCGTAGACCCAAACACTCACATATTACCCCAGGTGGTGGGAAGAAAACTCCACCACCACAGAGTTGCCCTCTATTTTCAACGTTGACCTACTCAACGCAGGCCTCAGCGCCGCCACTAGCTCTCGCTTAACTAATGTCACACTTTCCTACGCAGGACGAGTGACGGCCCCACGGGCCCCCAGACCGCCTCCAGCCTTTGTACAGCTATGTACAGGACCAGTCCCAGCGCCCCAGACAACGCGGGAGGAGCGAGCCGTAAGGCTCCAGCTAGAGTTTAGGGATCAGTTAGACACGCAGAGTGTTATTACTAGCTTCCAGCGTAGCATTCGTAGTTTGACCGAGCCACCAGAGCCGGCCATCCTCTTAGCTCTTAGATACGGATCTCCATTGGATCCAAATTTTGTGGACATACATGAACAAACAGCTATTAACAGCATAGGCATAGTCATAATTGAACTGTGTTCTGGACTATGCGCGGCGACAGAAGCGCTCGTTCGCGCAGGTGTAAAAGTCCGCAAACTTTATGCCTGTGAGACAGATCCAATGTGCCGTTGTGTGGCCCAACAACGATTAGTTACACTCACCCAATTGTTTCCGCATCCAATTAATGCCGACGCTATTATACACAGCCATGAGCAGCTGCCGCATGACATCGCTGAGATCATGGAGCAGCATATATCTGAGCTTGAACCGCCGGACATCGTAATTGCCGGATTTCCGTGTCAAGGATTTTCATCCGCAGCAACAAAGCCGCTTGGCCTTCGTGACACACGGACAAGCTTATTCCACACATGCGTAGAAATAGTACGATGGATCTATCATCAACATGGGCCATGTATATGGCTGTTTGAAAATGTTGACGCTACCGACCATCGCAACACACAAGTCGCACATGAATACAATCACATAGTGAAAGGCATATTAGGCCATGGAGTGGCCTTTGTTGCCGTTGCGGTCGGCTCATACGCTCACCGCCACAGACGCTTCTGGACCAACGGCATGCCAGCCGCATTATTAGGTCACATGGTCACACATACCTTTGAGAATTGTGTGCCCACTCAACAATCAGTCTGTGACGTAATCGAGCCTCATCACGAAGCTCAATTGGCTGCACATGATTCAGTGCCAGGCAACTATGTGGTCAATGAAATTGGGAAACCACTACGCGCGTTCTCCACTTTCGTTACAGTTCGAGGCTCACATGCATATCGCAATAATGGGCATAGTCTCTTAATTAACACAGAGACAGGACAACTCGAAGAACCAAACGCTAATGAACGCGAAGCTGCAATGGGTTTTATGGTTGGCACCACCAATTGTGCCACCGTCTCAGAAGCAGATCGCATGCGCATGCTAGGGGGGACCATGGACATGTGCCAAATTAAGTTCATTATGAGCTCCATCATGGTTTTCCAACACGCCTTCTTCTTAAATTGACGGCGTGCAGAGTCACAGTTAGTTAAATTACGCAACACTAATGTGACTCACCTAGCTAAACTCAGTCGGATTCCTACATCGCGACCAATCGCACCATTCGAATTGTACCAGCTTGCAGTTCTGAACCACCGGTCTATAATGTCTCACCCCGATTTTCGCACAAGAGTGCATAGCAAACGACCTGGATGGTATGTTCCCTATGCAAGGGGGGGGGAAGAGCCAATTCACTTTGCCAACGACCGTATGCAAATCACTTTGCCACCTGACAACACAAATTCAGGCAAGAACAACGATTTGGATCAAACAGATTCAAGCCTAGAGAACCCTAACCACCCTCTCAGTAGACAAGAAGCCAGGCTTCAATAAAGACGTGCAGGCAAGGGCAGTGATCACCCCCCTGAAAAACGTAGAGAGCAGGCAACTCATTTGAAAGTTACTCTCAAACATGCTGGGAAGGAAGGGCCTCAAACCGGTCTACTTAACCAAACTGTTAACCACACAGACTTACCAAAGCAGACTGCAGCAGCCTTAGGCTCAGAGCCTGTTAAGGCCAAAGGTTTAACTGTTGAACCTGCAAAAACAGCAGAGGAAGAATGGAGTTGGCCCCTAGGAGCAGCATTAACAGAAAACCAACGAATTCAGTTGATAGAGCTACTGGACAACTTCAAAGACATCTTTGCCTTCAACATGAAGGAAATGACCACCATACCTGGAGTTGAGTTTGAAATACCAGTCAGCGACGAAACACCCGTGTTCAAGCATCAGTACCGCTTGGCGCACTCAGAGAAGGAAGATCTGGCGCAGCAAGTGGCAGAACGACTCAAGAATGGCCTTATCAGGTCATCCACATCGCAATGGGCCTTCCCC